ATAGAAACAATATAAATATACTTCTCCAATACATTTTCAATTTCTTACCCTACTTAAAAATTGTATTCCAACAACTGAAGTAATCTTTATTTTACTAGTGTTCTTCTTAGAGTATTTTAAAGATATTTTACTTATGGTAGCATGTTTTCTTTAAACTTGTCTTACTTTGCAAATTAAAGTTTTTGTTGATTTGTAAAAAATATATTCCGGGGCCTCGAAGCTAAAGCCACATCTGCATGAGTTCGATCCCTGTCCTGTAATGATCCACATGGCAGGGAGACCTCTCCTGGCTAGCCTGCCGCTCCCCTCAGCAGTGTACTTCATCAGTTGGCTGGTGAATCCTATCACCACCCCTGCACCTCTGGCTTGTACCCCAGTTCTATATGCATAAATAAATAAATCATTAAAAGAAATAATTTCCAATGCTGAACATTCATATTTTATATCGGTTTACTTACAAGAACACTTACTAAAATTTTATTATAATACAGCCATCGTTGTTACTGGTTTTATTGAACATGGTTATGTAGCAGTACATTAAACAGAAGATCCTTTTCTGTAAACTCACACAAGAACAACAACAACAAAAATAAATAAATAAACCAGGAACTCTTCATATTAAAGGAAGTTTAAAAAATAGTATTTATTAATAGAGCTGAGTCAGTTTACTATCTTAGCTATCCCTCCAGATGCTACAAGAATCCTCCCCTGACAACAGAATTCTTCCACTGACAACAGAGGATGACCATGGTGGAGAAGTCTTTGGAGTAAAAAGATACCAAATGGAAAAGGTTGTGGTTTAGTAACTGTATTTGGAGAGTTTAGTAACTATATTCCTCACCACCAAGCAAAGGGAAGAACTTAAAGAAAAAAAAAATTGCTCGTGGATTATAAATGTCTATACCTGAATTTTATAGTTGAATTTCTTCTTTGGCATAAACTGCTGGTTTGATTTCTGTATGTATACAAACAGGAGGATAAAGAAATGAAAAAAAAAATGATAAAAGAGTGGATGTCATCAGAATAAAATACTCCAAACCAGGAGAGGGCTTTAGCATCAGGAAACAATGGCGATTTAGATTACAAAAGGGAAACTGAGGAATGTTTTCATTGTCAGAGATTTGTGCTGTTAGGGGATTTCCCTGGTAAGCCTTCCCACCCTTATCAGGAGTTAACATTTAGGCAAATGCCTTGAGGAAGATGTTAATGGCCAGTAGGCATAACCATCAAAATGACAGTGCAGGAAGTACAGAGCCAGAACTGACAAAGGAGACTTATCTTACTATGCAGGGGAAGGCAGGCGGAGGACACAGTGGAGAGGTAACCAGGTTCTTTAGTTTCCAGGTACCTTGGCCTGAGGACTTGTCATTGCTAATGGGAATGAGGGAACACACAAGTGTTAACAATTTTAGTATATTTTATATTCTAAATCTGTTCAAGATCATTTAGGTGCAGAAAAGTTAATCCTCGACAGATCATGTGTGGAATAGAGAAAAAACACAATCAATTTATATTTGTAACATCAGTTCCGACTTTTTGATAATCTAGTTACCTCAGAAGGGATGGTTTTCAAAATGTAAAAGTTTCTCTCCAACTTAGTATATTTCTGTGTTTAAAACTGATCCATCATAAAATATAAAATGTGAATGGGCAGAGGAATGTAATCTAAGCCTATGGAAAAAATCTGAAATATAATGCACCAATAGTTTGTTTTTAAGAATCTGTGACCATATCTTAAATGTTTCAACTTCTTCCCAGAGAATATGTTCCTTGAGGACACCAGACTATATCAACTGTCTTCATATCCCATTGCAATATCAAGGAACAATCTGATTCAAAAGAGTGGAAAAGGATAAATGAGTTAGTTTCTGTCATTCTAATGGAACTTAACCAATGATTTCCTTCTTCATTGAATTTTAATTTTCACAATCGTAATTGTTGAACATATGCATATAGGTCATATGCAGACATATAGGCACACATATGAAGGCATATAGGGACTGATATCTCTAAATATATTGGATGAAGCTAAAGCACTAAAAATTACACATTTAATACATGTGAGCATGCCTTGTTCTGAAGTGGCCTATTTTCATTTCTTATTTATCCATGCTAGTAGAGCAGAAGAATGTCATAAATAATGCAAAAATCACTTACAGCTGACTTGGTTATATATTGTATATTTTTCATCAGACTTAGTTTCTTAATTGTTTGTTCTATTTATTACCCAGATGAACTAACATCATGAGTATTTAACAAATGATGATTGGTTGTGATGGCTGGGAGCATTTTATATGTAGAGGGAAAATCCAATCTAGTGTTATAATCTTACTTTGGAGCATTCACAAGTGAGTGATTGAAATTTAGCCTATGTAAGTGCTTGATACCCTGTGATGTAAAATAGACGTGAAAATAGATATGTTTTTTATCTGTTTCAGAATGGCTAAATCAAATAGTTAACTTAGTATTTTTTTATATCTTGATAATAATGAAAAATGGAGTTATAGTCTTTCTCTACTGATATCAGAGTATAATTAAAATATATTTGCAAATATATTTATTTGCATTTATTAACTCACAATAAAATAAAAATTAAGCCAAATGAAGAGAAAAAGAAAACTAAATGATAGACGTAAATTCAAAATAATGAATGTGAATATTTTTCTCTACTCCACATATTCGATGATATGCACTCTACTAGGAAAATGTTATTCTATCCATTTGTTGTATATTTTAAATAAAATAGGACATAAAGAGAAAATTCTTTGTTATTCATAAACTTCCAGTGACATTCTCCCATCTAAAAGACATTAGTTCCATGTACTTTCTGTATTAAAAAAATATCAATTATGTTTCAAATCTTCTGTTACCTAATGACATAAAAATTAATATGTTTTGAAGGTATTTGCACATATTTTGATAAAGACACTATAAAATGAGGATGTCTAAAATGTTTTACAACTGAATATTCTTTTCACATCATCTGTTTAAAAAATTCATTTATTCATAGTTTTTGCATGTCTGACTAGGACCTTGGTATAAATGTCAAAAAAAAAGACTTGAGAAATAATGTGTGTAGATTTGTAACTATGAAAGAGAATTTTTATGTCAGTGCAGAAGAAGTAGTGGGGGAATTTGTTTTATGTGACTCATTTCTGTATAAAGATATAAACTTTTTTTTAGCCAAAAGCTGTCATAGTTTCTTGTAAAATAATAAAGATATCCATTTTAATTGATTCTTTTCATTGTTTAATAAAATTGCTTTGTTTGACTGCTGAAGAATTTGAATTGCATTTTCATTACCCACTTCTGAACAATTTGCTCTAAGATCCAGACAGTATTGAGCTAATGAGTTTGAATTTATATTGAACCTTAACTGTCTTCATGAAGTAAATGGAAAAAAATCATGGCAGTCACTAAGTATTCTTCATTAAAAACTATGTCATAGAGATTTTACAATGAGACTTAATAGATCTAAAGCATTTAAATGGTAGTTTTACCAATTTTGCTGTTTCTAAGCAAATTATATGAAAATGTCACTGTTTTTCAAATTCAAAGAAATTCAAACTCATAGCTAGCCAGGATATTACTATGTTTTATTTTCTCAAGTGGATAGTTTGTATATTCAACAAAATCAGTTAAGCAATAAATTACTATTAAATTAGTTTAATTTGGGGACATATCTAAATTGAAGTTATTTATAAGCCCCATGTAATGTGTACCCTTAAAGTATTCTAAGATCTATTTAAATCTAAGAAATAGCAACCAACTTTGAAACGCAAGCCCACAAATGTGCTATTTTGACCTGGAGCTGATATGACCACAAACAAATTTATATTTCTTTATGGTTAAAAGCACACATGTTCTTGACATTCACATGTTTGATTTATTGTTTTGATATGATTATGTTTTAGAAAGTGAATTTTGAGTTATCCCTAATATGTATAACTTGCACATTTAACGATTCCATATTTAGTATTTATTATGGAATAAAGTTAACTTTGAATGTTGGTTTGGATAACATTTAATAAAAGAATACTTTTGCATTCATTTTCTATCAATTTGCTATACTTCCAAAAAATAAATTCTCTAGATCTATGACAGCATCCATTTTATATTGTTGGTAAATCAAAAGAATTAGCCTCCACAAGTAGGCTTAATGTTGTATATATATATATATATTTTAATGAGAATCTATCTAGAAATAGAAAAACAAAACCAAAAATATGTGGTTAGGAGAAATTTACTTATTTGAACTTATTTCCCAAGAAATTACTTAGCCAATCTCCAAATGTGATGTGCTTTCAAAACCTCATTTAGAATAGTCATTAGAAGATTTGGAATAATATTGTATCCAAATAATTTATATTCATTCCCCACAGGAAGCAGTGATGGTTCTTGGGATAAAGAAAAACTGTACTCTTACCCACCCCAGGGATCTCAGGCTTCTGTTACCCACCCCCGCATGCCCGGAGCGCATAGCCTTCCACTTAGGCATCCTCTCCACCATCTTCAGCAGAGTCACCTTCTGCCAAATGGTACGATGGCATTTTTTAGCACTAAAATTGGTAGTTTCAGAGAAAAAAAAATGTCTAGTTTCTGGATAGCAAAATATAGGACATGATAAAGAAATATTACTACCTTTAGATAACTAATCGTGATAAGTTACAGAAAACCCTACTACTTTAGATAAGATTTAGACTGATCAGAAAGTAATATATAGCAAAGAATTGACCATATCATTAAACACCACATGATGAGTAATGATATGATAAACCATGGCACAAATTGATTAGCTTTAAACCTAATTTCCTTGAGTGGTGAGTGGGTATTGTTGCTTACGAAGAGGATTATTGTTTTCCTTTGTGATTATTAGAACATTTTTGAGTGCTTCAGTTTTCAATGATGTATGTGTTCACCATTTTAGTAAATTAATTGTACCATGTTTCATAGTTTTATTTGAACAAAGCAATGATGATACATGTATTTCTCTTTTCCAGGACTGGAACTTCCTTTTATGATGATGCCCCACCCTCTAATTCCCGTCAGCCTACCTCCAGCATCTGTCACCATGGCCATGAGCCAGATGAACCATCTTAGCACCATTGCAAATATGGCAGCAGCAGCACAAGTTCAAAGTCCCCCCTCAAGAGTTGAGACATCTGTTATTAAGGTAATTGTTTTCTCATACCATTGTTTTTGATTTAAGGCAGACATCATCATAGCCACCATTCCTCAGTGCAATTTTCTTATTCTGTAGGTAATTTTAACCTCCCCCCAAATTAATAGATAGTAAGTAGGTTATAATAATAACCATAATAATTAGGGCTAAAATTTTAGGTGGGCTAAGCTAATTTTAAGATCTTTATTACATCAAGAGAGAGAGAAATATAGGAAAGCAAATGACATATGTCCCATTGTGTGAGTCTTATGCATGTTCAGATGTGTGTGGGTACATGCACATATGTATAATGTGTGGTGGTCTGATCTTGAATGAGAAATAACATCTTATTTGTTTTCAGGCCAGAGTGTTAAATTATGGTTTTGCCACATTTCTGAGTCTATTCTATATCTAAAAAAAGGGAGTGTTTGTGGAAAACTAATATAAAAATTAATTTTTATATTAATTCAAAAACCTTGTACAAGAGGTTGTTAAGTTGAACCTCCAGAAGGTAACACTATTTGTATAAATATCACATATGTCTTTATATACACAATTATTTTTCTCTGCATGTGTGTGTGTATGAGAATATTTATATCCTTTTGAATAAGTGCATGTATGCATGTATACTTTTATTCATATTGTTTCTAGTTTGTATTTAAATCAAAATACTTGAAATGTGTTTTTTGAGCAGGTTATTACTTTTTAACTAAGTAAAAGCTACTCTATGAGGCATTAAAATTGTTATCTTGTTTCTCTAAATATCTATGTGTTTATGGCTCTTTGTGTCTGCCTGTCTATCTATCTGTCATCTATGATTTAGGGGATACACTGGATCACATTTTCCATAAAAGGACCTATTAGAGCTTTCAGTCATTGGTGGGAATACAAAATGATGTAGGGAGTTTGGTAGTTTCTAACAAAATTACAAATGAGGTATTTATCTACCTTCTTAATCATACAAGTGTTTGCACAATTAGATAATGGTAACAGTTTTATTGGCAGTTGCCGTTGCTGAAACTTAGAAACCATCAAGATGTGTCAGTGGTGATCACTCACATGGTCTGACTGTTAAGTTAAAATTTGTTACATGCTCAGTGAGTGGGCGGTGACAGTTCAACCACAGACCACAAAAAGAACATGAAATAGAGAAGTTTATTATGCAGGGATCCTGGAAGAAGTATCTAGCACACCTCCAAGGATCACATGGACAGGTCAAGGCAGAGAATAAATAGAGTATAAAAAGAGAGTCAGGGCCTGGGGCACACATGTTAATTGAATCCATTGATGGACTGTTTTGCGGCTCCTGGGATGGGATTGTATTGGTCAATTCAACCCCAAAAGCACTGTTTTGGTGAGTTCCAAAGGCCTTGTTTATACTTATTTGGAATGCTGGCTAATATACAAGTATAATTTTTCCAGTAAAAATGGTTTTGCAAAAACAGTTTATATTTTAGTGATAGTCCCTACTATCACTTTCTAAAAATCTCTATAGAGAAAAAAAAAAAAAAAAACAAAAACGTCATAGAAAACCCAAATCAACTACTAAAAAATAGTTTTTCTTGAGAGAATTCCAATGAATACATGATATCATCAGCCAAAGAACTGAGAAGAAAACTTGAACAATTTCTTTGTAATTTGCAGTGACATTTAGAGGTTTCCTTTGCTATTAAAATGATTTGTTAATCAGGCCATGACCATGTAATTCCACAAAAATTTTATTACTATTATTACTATTTATTACTGAGAATTAAGTATTTTTTATTGCCCCTTTCACTGATTAACTAAAGGAATATTTTGGTTAAAAAAAAAAAATCTGGCCCTCCTTGATGGTGATGGGTTAGGATGCAGCACTGCAAGCTAGCTGCAGCCACTTTAGTGCGAGTTCGATCCCCCGCTCTGGAGATGATCCACAGGGGCTGCTGACCTCTCTGTATAGGCCCCCTGCTCTCCTCAGCAGTGTACTTCATCATTCGACCAGTTCTGTTCCCCACTCTGTCTCTGGTGAATCCTCTAACTGCCCCTGCACCTCTGGTCTGTATATCCCAGCTCTGTATGCATAAACAAATAAATCTTAAAAAAAAAAAAAATCTGAGTAGTCCCATCATTGTATTTGATACTAACATTAAAATATACTTAGGTATAGGATATAATTATTTCATTTTTTTTACTTCATCATTGTAGTGACAAACTACACTGCTGAGGGGAGCAGTGGGCCGGTCTGGAGAGGTCTGCCAGGGCATGTGGATCACCTCTGGGTTGGGAATCGAACTCATGCTGAAGTGACTTTAGTTTCTTGGTGCTCTGCTTTAACCCGCTGTGCCACCAGGGAGGGCCCAATTATTCCATTAAAAAAATATTAATATGGAGAATCGTCTTTATAAAATTATTACACATTTTCCCATTCAAAATTAGGTACTTTTTGTAATTGTCATTTAAGTAAACTTTATCCATAAATAAAAATATGGCAAAGATCATATTTTAACATTTTCAAATCATAACTGATCACTTACTTACAAACTAGATAATATGGATATAAGATGATGTTTAATATTCCTATATCCAAAAGTATCCAGTTACATCAGATGGCTTCATTTCTTTATTTTTCATTATACACCTTTTGTGCTATATCTAATCTTAATTAGGGTGCTAGATAGTGAATCTTCCTATATTAAATTCTTCATTATCTAAATTTTGCTAAGTAGAAGGAAGCAATTGTGTTTCCCCTGGAAGACATATTTTGAACTAGATCACTCAGGAATAATTTAGATTATTGGAAAGTCAGTAGTATATCTGTAGTTTCTTAAAGGAAGATTATGGATGGAGAGCAGGGAGACAGAAAGACATGTGCAAAAAAGGGATTAAAAAATTAACAAGTCTTAGGTATTGAAATATATGCTAATCACTACCAAGTAGTAGTGATACTCCACTTTCTACTCTCTTGGGGAACATACTTTCAAAAGCCTGGCTACAGCAAATTAAAACAAATCTAGTTTTGAGTGACATGTTGGTATAAATGGTTATGGTTGATAAATGGGAAACATGTTCTAGTTGGAAATAATTAAAAAAGTAAAATTTAGAATTTTAATTGCCAACATGAAGATTTTAACTGCCAATATCGAAGTAAAGTTCAGTTGTCCATTGTGGAAGTTGAGAAAGAGCTTCTTGCTTTAGGGTGCCCTTTTCCTTTTAAGTTGGCCCTCTGTATAGCTCCAAATTTGATGCTAACAGATAAAGATTATAGAAACAGATTTCAAGAAATCCATAAAATGTATGTATATATATGTGTGGGGGTGCATATATATAGATATACACCCCCACACACATGTATATATATATACTATACATATATGTATATGTAAATATACATATATATACACACATACACATACATACATATATACATACATGTGTGTGTGTGCTTGAAGATACCCACAAGACCTAGAGTGAGAAAAATGGCTCAGAGAATAAGGACAAGAAGTAAGTTCTCTATGGAATTCCAAATTGCAGGAAACAAATTGTTAAATCAACCCATCTAAGTTTTGATATAATCTATTATATAGAAAAAGCAACGCTTAGTAAACTCACAAGGTATATATTAATTAAACTTATTTTGGAGGAAGTTTTTATTTTCCCCAAAGAAAGAGGTTGACTCTATGTCACATTAAATGTATGAGACCCAAGTGGGTAATTAGAATAGCGCCTGCAAGTCTGTTTGCCTGAAAAGATTCTAAGTATGAAGGTCGATTAAAAGTGAAATGTTAAATACCAAAAGAGATTTACCTCCAGATGAAAGTATGATAAAACAATAAGAAAACTAACCTCTGAAGGGAAAATAGAAGTTTAAGTGATTTCCCAAATGCTAAAATGTACCAATCACATTATTTGAGAGTAATGACAAGAATTAAAATTAAAACTCAACTTAATTGAGACCGTTAATAAGACTTTGTAAGATAAAAGAAATGCAAACACATAAATTTCAGAATTATATATATATATATATATATATATATATACACATATATATTAAAGATTTTATTTATACATACAGAACTGAAGTACAGGTCAGAGGTGCAGTTTCAGTGAGATGAATCACCAGAGACAGAGTGGGGAGCAGAACAGGCTGACTGACAAAATACACTGCTGAGGGGAGCAGCGGGCGGGTCAGGAAAGGTCTGCTGTGCCATGTGGATCACGTCTGGGGCTGGGGATTGAAATCATGCTGAACTGGTGTGCTTTAAGCTGCTGTGCCACCAGGGTGGGCCCAGATTTGTATATTTTAAAAATACTCTTTCCTTAAGTGTTTCTATGAAGAAGAAGAAAAAAAAAAAAAGTAGCAATGATTTTTTTCTAAGCTATTTATGGAAATGTCCATATCAGTACAGGCTGGGGAGCAATCCCACTAACTTCCTTTCATGGTGGAATTCCATCAGCTGCCAGTTTTATATGGGCCATGAGTTAAGAATGGTTTTGCATTTTTGAGTAGTTGGGGAAAAAAAAAGAAGAATTTTTGACGACATATAAAAATTATATTCAAATTCTAGTGTCTATAAAAGATATTTTGGGGCCTAGAGCCACATTCTGTATAACATTATGGCTACCTTTACATACACATGTAGACTTGATGTTTACTAGATGGTTCTTTACAGAAAAAAAAAAATAGCTCATCACTGCATTGGAGTTCTAATTAACTCAAACTCATGTGAATCTTAGGCTGTGGATAATTGAGACAGCTCAAATTAAACTCCCAACCCCTTACAAAAGTCAAAGGATTTAGCATTAAAAAATGAAATTAAAAGCATCAAGAAAAAGAAAATTATATAGAGGAAGACAGTACCGTAAAGACATTGCAAATTGTTATAGATGTAGGCTCCATGAAAGATTTGGCTAAAGTATTGAATTTAAATGACTTCTAGCAGATTGGTTTGGACTACTGAAAATACTTTAGGAGATAATTTGATGAGCAAATGTCATATACTGTTTAGACAAAATTAATGCTAGTGTGAATCCTT